TCCCACTATGACGTGCCGATGCAGCGAGGAGCAAGCAACATACTGCCCGTGTGCCACTACTGTGCTGCAGTGACGAGTAACGAGGCCTAGCGTTCCCCCTGTTTGCGGCGAATTGTGACCCAGCTGTTATTGCTGGACAATATAACCCTTGTAGCCGCAAACTAGCCGGCACAGCCAACAACCAGCCCTGATTACTTTGAATAATTTCAAGTTTCTTGCATCTCACTTTTCTATGTTCTGCTAATTCAAAAACATGCTTAATTAGAAGATTTCTCACAGTCCCAGTAACTTCGAATGAACAAGGTTTTACTGTATGTACAGAGAAAAAAATATATATATACAAGCAATTCTACATCACCTAAATCATGCAGAGTGCGTATTAGCACTGTTATTTCAATAAAATTAGTATTTTGAACCACACTACTCTGAAAACAATGATAATGTTCAAATTCGCATTTTCGATACCTGCAGGGGTGCATAAAATCAGGAGCAATTTTCGGAGCAGCAGAATATTACTTTTGGAGCACTAAAATGTAAATTTGGCATAGGTTACAGGAAATAAAATGTCTATTGTTTATTCTGAAAGACCCCATTCAAAGCCAAGAAGACTTGCATTTAGAAAAAAAAAGTATGTTCAAGCCAATCAACATCATCTAAATCATGCAGAGTAAACATGAGCGCTGCTGTTTCAGTAAAACTAGCATTTCGATCTAGTACACCACTGAACGAGCAATGATAAGTCAACACTAGCACTTGCTGCATCTGTCAAATCCTTTCACAGAATCCGTGAATTAAAATGAGGATCTGCCAACCTGGTGACCTTGAAATTGAAGGGATTCATGAAACTGAAGAGTAGGGGTGACGGGAAAAAAAAAAAAGCTTGCGCAGTTTTTTTTTAGGGCCGTAGAAGTGTCGTACACTGTTCCAAATGATCGCCAGTAACTTTTTCACACATCAGCAATCATACTAGTGCTCACTATTATGCGGTAGTACACACGCATGAGTATGTGAACGAAATTTGCTCTCCCGTGAGTAGTGCTAACAGCACCTTGCCAGTCATAACACGCTTTTCTGCAGGGCACCAATGTATTAAGACGAAAATGCTTTAAGCAGCATTCTGTACAGTTAGAACAAGGCCAATACATTTTTTAACACCACTATGCCCCCTCCCCTTCTTTTTTTTTATGGGGGGAAGGGGCGGGTTAGGTTTAGGGCACAACATCTCGGCTCACTTGCAAGGCGCGGTTTACCAGATAATAAAACGTCAGTGCGTGCCCGTTGATTCGGCAACAGCACTGGATATCCACGGGATGAGGCAACTAATGCAACTTCAAGACAATGTTTTATGTGCCGTTGCTATGACGACCAACGTGGTTGCTTGCAACACCAGCGCCCACAGCATGTCGACTCGGGCAGAAAACGCAATATGTGCTCCCAGCTCTAGTTGCTAACATGCCATAGCCGCTTTTGGTGACTGGTAAGTTCATATTTGCCGAGAACCGTTCGTGGCTACAGCAACGAATCTTTGTCTAGAAGTTGCATCATCCCGTCGATAGGTATCCGTTATGGCCAGCAGACCAATGGGCTCACAGTTTCATCACTTTATCTGGTCGATCGCCTCTCACGAGTGCCCTGACTTAATGGGATTAAGGTTAGTAGTCTGCGCGCTTGGATTGATTGATGACTCAAACTGCAGGTGGGAAATGTACGTGGCCTCTATTTCTCGCAGAAATCAAAGCAACTGAGAAAATACTGAGGCTGGTCGGGCATTTTGGTGCAGCATACACAATTTTGGCAGATTTTATGGTTTTGGCGTAGCTCGGCACAAAAATGGGAAAATTGTTGGCTCAATTGGCGCAGCTGTTGCACCCCTGCACCTGTCAAATCCTTTGACATACTTGCGAGATATGTAAATCTGTGGAGCAGAGGTGGCTATAAAAGAAAAAATAAAAATAAAACTGACATATAGTTTTGTTTCACTTTTTAGAACTGCAGAAATATCATACACAGCTTCAAATGATTGCCGGTAACTTTTTTAGACGTCAGTGATCATATTTGTACTCACAAGTATATGGCGCATACATGCATGAGTAATTGAACAAACTGTGATGTGTCCCATAACTAGCGCTAACAGCTCCTTCCAAATTTCAAAACACTTTTTCGAAGGCCATCGATATATTGAGGTGAAGGTGGCTCAAGTGGCATTCTGCACAGGTTACAACAAGGCCAATAAATTTACGAACCGCTACCATACCTGCCAAGTTCAAGGATTCTGAATCCGGCAGATTTCCACAACATGAGGGGGGGGGGGAGGGGTTCGTTGAATTATTTGCCCTTATTTTTTTTTTCAGCACCAAAAAGATACCCAATGAGAAACAAACAAAAAAACACTGCAAAAAACAAAGGGGGAGGGGGGAGGGGCTCAATCGCAAGCGCCAACATCAGCGTTGCGGTCTTATAAAGGCTTGGAGTGGCCGAACAAGTTAGGGTAGGGTTTTCCACCAAGGTGAGAACCTCAAAGGATCAACACAACTAGCAGAATTTATTTCTGTCAAAACAACTCGCGTATGTGTTTCTGAAACACACGTGAACACACGGGACGGTTCAGCTGGCTGCTGCAAAAGCGCGGGTCAAAGCTTTGCTCACTACTAGATCCTTTTGACAAGAACGCCAAAACGCGTCTTGCCTTTTTTTCCTTGCATATTTACTGCCTTTAATCTACCGCTGCGTCAGCAGCCTGGACTCGAAGCTCATAATAATTGATTGATATGTGGGGTTTAACGTCCCGAAACCACCATATGATTATGAGAGACGCCGTAGTGGAGGGCTCCGGGAATTTCGACCACCTGGGATTCTTTAACGTGCACCCAAATCTGAGCACACGGGCCTACAACATTTCCGCCTTCATACTCGAAGCTCGTAGATCGCTATCGCATCACAGCGACCATGGCTTTGTACGCAGCATTTGCAGCAAATGGTAGTTTTTTTTTTTTTTTTTTCCAATCCTCGTGCGCTTGGCTGCCAACACTCCTTCAAAACTAAGTCGTTTTATGCCCTCTACGATTGCATCTGCCGTGGTTTTCTCCACAGAGTTTGAGGAAAGCAGTGTTGCTTTGACTGGTTGAGCGTTGGACGTGCACACACTTTTGGGGTTCTGTCAGTTACGTCGTTGCCATACAGGATCGTGTCAAGAACGACCGCGGCTTCGTCCACAGCGGGTGTAGCAAGCAAAACCACATGCACTGTAGAAGACAGTGCGTGCACTAGTCACACGCGTACTTCGAAAGTTTTGAGTACGCTGCTCTCGGCATTCGTTCGACCGTTTCGGTACTAAAGTTCGTATCACTCGCCGTGATTAGGAAATGTGTTTGCAACATTTAAATTTAGGTCCAATGGTGATAGTGGAATCTGGCTGGGGAATTTCACGAATTCGTATCTGCCAAGGTTTCCCATCATTGAGCCCCGCCACGGTGGTCTAGTGGCTAAGGTACTCGGCTGCTGACCCGCAGGTCGCGGGATCAAATCCCGGCTGTGGCGGCTGCATTTCCGATGGAGGAGGAAACATTGTAGGCCCGTGTACTCAGATTCGGGTGCACGTTAAAGAACCCCAGGTGGTCAAAATTTCCGGAGCCCTCCACTACCGCGTCTCTCATAATCATATGGTGGTTTTGGGACGTTAAACCCCACAAATCAATCAATCAATTCACATCATTGCGATTCTACTGTAAGTTTAGATGAACGCCTCTTAAGTTTATGTATAATAAAATGGGGTAGGTTCAAAAAGCCTGGAGCGAATTGAGCTGCTTTTTTTGTCAATGCGGCCAGATGACGCACAGAAATTTGGATTTCCGGGAGATTTTCATGACAACTGCACAAACGGAAGAAACGGTCTCCCAGCCAATTTGGGAGACTTGGCAGGTATATGCTACAGTCCCCTCCCCACCCACTTTTTTTGTTCGCAGTGGGGCCAAGTTTAGGGCACAACCTCTCGGCTTGCTAGCAAGACGCCTTTGAGTGGATTTCTATCGGATATCTACCATATTGCATTGGATATATATCGCATGTGCCGTTGCTATGACAACTTCGTGGCCGCTGGCAACGCTGGCGTTCGCCCCGCACATCAACTTTGTGCGAGCGCCTAACAGCGGCATACGCATCCACTTTTAGTTCCTAACATGCTATCGGCATGTTTGCTTACTAGGAAACTTCTTCCCCACGACATGTTGCTGGCTACGGCAACACATCTTTCTCTCAAAGTTGCCTAGTCCCGCCAATAGATATCCACAGCGGTCAGCGGACCAATGGGCACGTGCACTGTTACTTTACCTGGTCAATCGTGCTTCATGAGTGTCCTGGCCTAACCATGGTTTAGGGTTAGGGTGCACGTGCCTGCACTACAGGTGGCCAACATGGCTTCCATTTCTCCCTCTAGTTAGCGCAACTGAGAATAATTTTGAGGCTGGTCGGGCATTTTGGCACAGTGTGGCACAATTTCGGCAAATTTCATGGTTTTGGTGCAGCTCGGTTCAAAAGTGGGGCATTGTATCAAATTGGCGCAATTGGCGTTGCTGTTGCAGCCCTGCAATTCCCACACTTTGAAGACAACACCTTTCCTCACTGGTACTAATAGGTTTAAATACATTTTTTTTGTCACAAACAATAGAGCTTTGGAATGCCTTCCCTAGTGACATTCACTCCTTGCCAATAAAAGATTTCATAGCTCCAATAGATGAAAATTTTACTGACATGTACGCTACTTCATTTTTGTCACTGTTCTTTTGCATGTGTATTTCCTTTTATCATTAGTAGTATTCTCTTGCATTATTAGTTTATTGTATAACTAGCATCACACCATGTTCCCATTGGTACTTTATCCTAAACAGGGCTGCATTGTATGTTAATAAACAAACAAATACACTTGCGCAACCTATACACCTTCTATCTTGTTTACAGAGGTAGACCCAGATAGCCATTTAGCACTGTATACAAGCGGAACGCACCTGTAAGGTGCAGCCAGCTCTTGGTGCTCTCGCAGATGCAGCTCCATCTTGCGTCGAGTGCCGAATACTTGAGGGCAGCCGGGCGAGAGGCATCCAAACGTGGGCCGGCCATGCAGCTTCATGTGGGCCCGCAGGTTGTACACTGTTGTGAAGTGTTGTCCGCAGCCTTCCACATCACACTGCACACAACACCCAAACACTTTTTACGCAACTGGTGCTTGCAATGACGCTTGCCACCTTTCATGCCCAACAATTGTCTATGGGGAATTTCAAAAGCTGTTGGTCTGTTCAGCACGAAACATTGGCACAGCACCAAGTTATCAGCACCTGTCATTTTCGAAATCAACATTTCTGATGGTGATGTGTAGGGCTTAATGGCGCAAGGGCTAATTGATGGCCAAAGAGCGCAATTTCAGTAGACAGGAGATGTGAGCAATGATATGATATATGGCTGTAAAGGGGCCTTAAAATTCCTCGCGCTTACGCGGGTAAAAACATAGGAGTATTAAATGCATGAAAGTGGCGAGAAATGTGTACAGTGAAACTTAAAAGCGAATTGTCCTCACAATAAAACTATGCTGAAGATGTAGCCACCGCAGCCGCGACCTCAGTAGTAAGGTCGTGCTACGGATCAGCTCGGTATGAGTTGAAAGCTATCTATATCATTAAAAAATGCAAACAGTCATTGGACTTTCAAAGGCGGATCCCTACCGATGAGCATGGCAGGATGTAGCGGCAGCTGCTGTCAGTAGGCAAGCAAAAAGTGCTTGTTTCTCCGAGCATCTAATTCATTGCACTGCACAAGGATGTGGAGAACCGTAAGTTGTTCTCTGCATCTCTCACACAATGGCGGATCGCCACCAGACAAAAGGTGTGAATGTGTTGAGTGAGTGTGTCCTATTTGTAACCTTGTAAGTGTGACTTGTGTGTACCGGAATCTAGATACTGTTGGCCAATTTTCTAGTTTCGGTTTGATACTGTGCAATTTATTATCTGCTTCCCTATCCCACAGGTGTTGCCAGAACGCCCTGAGCTCCCGTCGTAGGAAGGGTTTCATGTCAATAGCAGGGACGGCCAGGACTGTATTGGCGGGTGCGTGGTTTTGCGCAGACCCAGCCAGCTGATCCACCACTACGTTTCCAGTGATCTCGCGGTGCCCTGGCACCCAGCACACCACAACCTGTCGTTTGAGGGTGTAAATTGTGCATAAAAGAGAGTAAAGTGATATAAGGACAGGATTTTTATGTTTTCTCAGAGTTTTCAAAGCTGTTACGACACTCAGCGAATCGGTGTATACAACCGCGCGTGCAGTTGTAATTCCTTGATATGCTTGACGGCCACAGATATCGCATGGGCTTCTGCAGTGAAGATACTTGTTTGCGTGTGCAGAATACCGGATTTTGAAAAAGATGGGCCAACAGCTGCATAGGACACACTAGAACGAGACTTTGACGCATCTGTAAAGAATTCGGGGCAGGTGTATTTATGTTGAAGTTTGAGGAAGTGTGTGTAGATGTGTGCAGTAGGTGCGTGTTTAGTAACCTCCATGAAAGATACGTCACAGTCTATTATCTGCCACTGCCACGGCGCTGGATATGCTGCGGGAGCCATCAACTAGTGCTCTAGAAGTGGCACGCCTGTTTCCTCAGCGAGGCTTCTTACACAGATCGAGTAGGGCTGTCTCAGTGAAGGAGGGTTGTTGAGCAAGGCAGCATTGGACACATCATTAATTATGGCACGAGTGGGATGTTCCTCGTCAGCATTAACCTTGAGATAGCATGTGAAGGACAGGTAACACCTCTGCAGATGGAGCAACCATTCATTTGACTCGACATACATGCTTTCTACGGGGCTAGTTCGAAAGGCACCCGTAGAAAGGCGAATGCCTAGATGGTGAATGGGGTCGAGCATCTTTAGGACTAATGGCGTCGCAGACTGATAGGTGACAGCACCATAACCTAGACGCGTGCGTACGCGGCTTCTATACAAATCCATCAGGCATTTCCTGTCACTACGCCATGTAGCGCGTGACAAGACTTTCAGAATATTCATTGTCTTCGGGCACCTGTTCTTTAAATACTTGATATATGATATGAAGGTTAGTTTTGCATCCAATATTAGGCCCAGGAACTTATGCTCAGACTTTACAGTCAGGCGTTCACCGTGCACGTCAAGCTCAGGATCGGGATGAACGCCCCTCTTCCGACAGAACAGGATGCAGGATTTTTTGCGCATTCAGTTTAAAACCATTCTCATCTGTCCATTGACAGACCTTGTTCAAACCTAATTGAACCTGACGTTCACACACTGAGAGGTTAAAGGATTTGAAACCGACTTGCACGTCGTCAACATATGTACACTAAAACATATTTCGTGGGATAACGAGGTGCAAGAAGTTTATTTTCACTATAAAAAGTGTACAACTCAATACCCCTCCTTGTGGCACTCCTGTTTCTTGAACAAATGCACGGGACAACACATTGCCCACTTGAACATGGAATGTCCGATTGGACAGGTAGCTTTCAATTATTGCCAACATTCTGCCCCGCACACCTAGGTGTGACAGGTCTCGGAGTACGCCAAAGCGCCACGTTGTGTCATATGCCTTCTCCATATCTAAGAACACAGAAAGAAAAAATTGTTTGTGAATGAAAGCATCACGAATTTGTGCCTCGATACGGACAAGGTGGTCAGTAGTGAATTTGTCCTCCTGAAAGCCGCACTGGTATGAGTCAAGTAGGTTATTTGTTTCAAGGAAGTGGGTCAGTTGCCTGTTCATTATTTTCTCAAAGACCTTGCAGAGGCAACTCTTCAATGCTATAGCCTTGTAGCTTGACGTTGAACATGGGTCCTTACCCTGTTTTAGGATCGGAATAATGATGGCTTGTTCCCAGGCGGAAGGCATCTCTTCGGAAAACCAAATAGCATTATACAAGGAAATGAGGGGTTTCGGGGTTTCAGGGGGCCGATAATTCAGCATTTCGTACACTATACGGTCGGAGCCTGCGGCAGTCTTGTTATAGCAATTTAGTGATGCTTCTAGCTCTGATAAGATGAAAGGTTCATTGCATGCGACATCATTTGTGGATTTGCATTCTACTTCTTTTTCGCTTTTCTGTTCTTGCTTTGTAACGTTGTAGGGCACGATTGTAATGGGTTGAGCTGAAGATCTCTTCGAAGTGTGCGCCGAGGTAGTTCGCTTGGTCTTTCAAACCATTGCCTTGTGTGTTTACTAGAGGAAGAGAATGTGCTTCTCGTCCTACTACCCTACTGACCATGTTCCAGACTCTTGCCTCATGTGTATATGAGTTGATGCCAGATAGAAACTTCTGCGAGCTATCTCTTCTGGCCTGTAGACACGTTCTCCTGCCTTGTGACTTGGTGTTTTTAAAATTGACAAGGTTTTCTGTGTTTGGGGAGTTTTGAATACGCCTCCATGCTTTGTTTCGTCGTTTGCGTGCATTGAGACACTTGCTGTTCCACCAGGGAACGCGCCGTTTTATGGGTAGTCCAAATGTGTGCAGAATTCACTTAGCCGCAGCTACAATAAGAGAAGCAGTAAAGCATTCTACAGATGCATCTATGCTAGAACCGCATATGTCAGTCCAACTTAACCTAGCAATCTTAATAAACTGGTTCCAATCGGCTTTTTCTATGAGTCATCGGGGAACACATGCAGGACATTCAGATGATGTTTGTGCACTCAAAATTATAGTAAAATGGTCACTTTCGTAAGGATTATTTATAACTTTCTATGTGAGCAGGTGTAGTAGTGATGGAGAGACAATGTTGAGGTCTATTGAAAAGTAGGTATTATTAGCCAGGCTATAGTATGTCGACTCTTTTCGATTGAGGAGACACGCACCAGAAGAGAAAAGCAACTGTTCAATAAGGCCACTTCTCACATCGCAGCGAGAGTCACCCCATAGGCTACTATGAGCATTAAAGTTCCCTAGAACGAGATACGTTTCTGGAAGTTCATCGATTGGCGACTCAAATTCGTGTTTACTCAGTTGATGGTGTGGAGGTATGTAAATACTGGTGGTGCTAAAACGTGAAAACATGTATCCAGAAGAAATTCCACTGCAGTGAAGACCCACTTCAAGGTTAAATGAAGATATCACCCAAACATCGATTCCCCCCCCCCCCCCTTTTTTTTTTCTGCCTTCAAAGTTCAATATGCCAACTACTGGCTCTAAGTATAGCAAATTTTAAAACACAACATATTTCACAGGCTATCACTAGCATCGCACTGAAAGTCAAATTCTGCTACTATAGAAAGTTGTTGCCACTTGCTTTAATGCAAAAAAAAAAAAAAAAAACATTTGCACAGGCCTTTTTTTCAATTTAATAAAATATATTGTGCACATCAGTTTGGTGATGCCAAATATGCCCGTTTCTTTATATTATGAAATATACATACCATTTGAATGATTCAAAATTATTCGACAATAATACCTATTAATTAGTCATACTTCGAACCTAAAGTTCAATAATTGCACAAGCCTACATATCTCTAAACAAAACATTTGTTCTGCAATTTTACATAGAATTATGGAAAGGTACAACCTCTATCCATAGTATTTCAACATACTACAGACAAGATGCCGAAAATATGGAGGATTGCAGCAACTCAACCTCCCAAAATTTTGCTGCACCACTATCATGTTCATCAGCTTATATATGTTTTACTTGAGAAAGGGCACTAAAAGAGTAATAAATATTTCATTCGTGCACTTTGTCCATAGCATTGCAGAGTTTTTCTTTTTTTTTCTTTCTTTCTTTTTTTTAGACAAATGTTGAAAGTGCTAACAGAACAGAATAATACTCAAGCTAACTTGCAAAAGCATGCGCAAGTTGGCAACAACTGTCACTCCTCTCACATTTCCTCATGATCGCCTGAAGTGTTTTTTGTAACGTCATAGCACCAGCTTCAACGATCGCTCTTCCCGCCTGAACAAAGACTCCCATGCAGCTAAACCATGACGTGTTCTAATTTGTATCACTGTGAAGAGGCTCACCATGAAATCCTTCTTGCCCTCATGGGTCTCCATGTGGCGCTTCAGCTTGTACTCTGTGGCGAAAGCCCAGTCACAGCCGTCTACAGCACACTGCACAAGACCACTCAATTCACTAAAGGTCTGGCCGTGCTCGTCAAGATCAAGTCACACAAAACAGAATCAGTATAGAGACAACATTTCTTATCAGCTCATACACCTTAACTTTATTGTCTTAAAGACCCAACTAAGGGGTATTAAATAAGGTATGGGGTACGACAAATGTCGAACGATGAATACTGTTATAAGGTAGAGTTAGAGGAGATTGCTTCCATGCAGGCAGATGAGCTTGACATAAAGGCGAGATTGCACAAGTTTACGGCAGTTTCTGGCTGTTCGAAGAAAGAAAAGGTGCAAAGGTATACGTATCAGCATGAACTACGTTTAATTATGAAACGTGGCTATGGGATGGAGTATGCCACAGTGGCAAGATACTTGGTGGCAAAACTTTCGAAATGGTAATAAGCTGGCACCTGAACAGGGATGACAAAAGCTTAATATGCCAGATTCTGCTTTTACAACCAATTTAGGCTGATATTACATGAGAAAGCAGAGTGAATGAAACAGATGGCATGATTCTGAAAGGCATCGAAGGTGTTCGTGAGAAAAATTCGGCAATCGTTCTGAATGATTGATGCATATTCTAGTTTGGGTTGTATTGTGTTATCATCTATAAGTCTAGTAGTTTCACATCTTTTAGAATGTTTTTTAGGCGACATCATAAGTAGCCAAGTGATCTGTTATTGATGAAATCATGTTACAGTCGCAGACTGATTTTCCAAACCTGGCGGGGACCACCAAATAGTCCGAAAAATCTAACAGTCTAATAAAATGATGAAAGCATGAAAATGACGTTTATTTGGATTAGAGAAGCCCAAAAAAATCCCTAATAATGCCATGCTTTATGGTGTTCTTGGAAACGTGCAAATTTGGTTATATTTAGGCTACAGTAACATCGTTGGCGAGTGCGTCAGCAAGCACTGCTGCCGACCGTTTCACGCGGCACAATTGGTGGCTCTATGGCACCAAGCAAACAAAACTTTATGCCGGTCCCAAAAAGGTGCATGCAACGTCTAACCTGTCAAGTGGGACTTGAAGGGGCCTTCAAACACTGTCTCAAGTAACCATGGAATGGATTCACTAAAAGAGGTTATTGTCTAACCAATTCAACACCACAAAAATTTTAATAATCCGTCCAGTACAAGCGGAGGTACAAAGATTTGTTGCGCTTTGCAATCGCATTCTCTCTTCTCTCGTCCCGATGAAAATGCTGGAAGCTCAGCAGGGAGCAATGGCAGGGAAAAAGAAAATACAGTCGTAATTCAAACTAGAAAGGACTTCTGCATTTTGTTTGAATTATCAAGAAGTTTGAATTATTAGAATTTCTTGGATATATGGCTATGGGTGATTACATTATGATTACGCATTGACTTTATCGGATTTTAAAATTTTTAAAGCGTTTTTAACCCCTAACTGCACGCAATGAATGGAAAACAGAGGTATAAGGGCAACAAGTTTGTTGGCCATTTACTGCTGATCAGGCCTTTTAAAGAAATCAACTGCCAACTACTTCTTTGCCATATATGCCTTCAACAAAAAGCTCTCTATACCTGCTGAGAAGCATCACGGTTCACTATGCACGTGGTTCGTGTAAAATCTTTGTTTTTTACTAGCAAAGCTTTTTTTTCTTGAAGACCTAAGGTGCTTATTTTTCATTTCTGGGCTAGTAGAATTATATAAGCGCACAACTTTTTAAATAGTGGTGGGAAAGCAGCAGCTATTTTCTGGTACAGAAATGCCAAATGTATGAATTAACTGAATGATAAGGTTTTAATTAGGAGCCTTTTAAATACATTCAAGGAATAGAGGGCCAATAAATAAATTGAATTTTATGAAAATTAACCAAAACTACAAATTATCAAAGTTTGAATTATCAAGAGTCTACTGTATGTCATGTGTGCATCATAACCTTGAGCACCTTTTTCTCCTTTTTTTTCTTCTTCCAATACACAGTTTTTTAAGTGTGATCGCGCACACACGTGGACAAGTCGCCGCCTCTTGTGGCAATCCCTGTAACAACAGAGCCCACCATGTTTAAGTCAGGCCATGGATGATAGAAGGCCTTCTACGAGTGATTTTCGAGCCTCTTCCGTCATTTGTTGAGAGAAGAGAAAGCAATTTCCAGCTGACTTTGATCATTTATTGTGAATTCCAGGCTGCGTGCTGCACTATATTATTTGGCTCGCGTGTCCCCGGGAGCCTCTATAACTGATCGGCAGTTTTTTTCTGGCCATGCTCAAAAAGTGTTGCAAGGCGACACTGTCTGGAGTTCTTTTACCTGCACCGACACTGCACAGTACGCAATTCTCCAGCGTTTCACCATCACAAAATTGCTACCGCCGTGATCAAGCCCGCCTGCTTCAGGTCAGTAACCGAGCACCGTAACCACAGAGTGCTATTATCAAAAGACTATTTGCTACTGAGCAACCGCGAACATCAGAGAACATATGATGCGCAAGACTGCTCACACACACTTGGCACACCACCAACACGATCACGTGTGCAAAGATAGCCAGAAAAACAAAAACACACAGAAAAAAAAACTACCGTCATATAAATCATGATGATAAGGCTGACTGAAAAAGAAAGATTGCGCCCCTAGACAGTTTTGCTAGCCAAGAAAGATGAGACACAGCCCCTGAAACTGGAAGATTGTTCGCACTTTCCAACTTAGAGGCCACAGAACAAGTCACAAGAAGCCAAACTTGACTAAGCAAACAAAAAATCCAACACGACGGCTTCCAAAATTGAGCAAATCGAGCCGAATAGCTAAACACGAGCGATTCAGTTTAGAAAATCAATTTTTAGGACACAAATTCGTCCAAATATTTGGTCGCAAAAATGCATTAGTGCTATGGGAACCTTGATGATGCTTTTGTGAAGTCCGAAATATACAAGTCCGAATTTTCAGAGTGAAAAATCCGCCGGCAACTGTAGTCACACGCACACGCCTTCTAAGACCATATAAGACTGTAAAACGTCAAGTATTCGATTTGCTTTTGAGTAATGTAAAGGGGTTATAACAACAAAAAAAGACATTTCTTATGGAGACACGCGAATCGAAAAACCAGCCTTTTGCAAAATTACACATTTTTCGTTATTTGCTTTCACAAGTTTAGTTTTATACTTTCATGACAAAAAACTGAAGATTGCAATTACACTCAAAGTACGTTAAAATCACTTCTATAGAACACAAGGTGGCTACTAAATAATTTAAAAGTGCTCATTGTCTAGAATCCCCTAAAAATTGTCACCTGGCTGCTTGCCGTTGCATTTCGCATGATGGGTTCACTAAAGCCACATGGTCGAAATAACCATGATTGCCAAGCTTTCATGATGGAAGAAATCTACTTTATATATCTTTTCACATAGATGAGTAAAAGAACTTGTTGTTGGGCTAGTTGGTACAACATTCATAATAATTTGAGCGCGAACACACGACACGATCACTCACACACGCACACACCCAGGCATCAAACACACACAGCGCTGTGTGTGTTTGATGCCTGGGTGTGTGCGTGTGTGACTGATTGTGTCGTGTGTTCGCGCTCCAATTAACTTTGACATAGATGAGCTTTCACTTATGTCTTCAAAATGTGTTTTTCTCAAGATCCCTTTTTGGGCATTTTCTTTAGTTTAGACAAGTTTTTCGTACATCTGATAGCCCAATCGGGATTAAATTTTGTCCACACATTCCTTAACACGTGAAGGGTGCAAGTATTTCCTTTAAAACTTGATTTCTCCTGTACATTTATGATTAACCTAGAGTAAGCAATTAGTATGGGCTCAGTATTCCAAGAATTCTCAAGTTAAAATTTTTCTTGACCACCAAAATGTTTTAAACGCACTTTCTTGACAGTTATTCCCATTTTACGGTTAATGTGAAGCAATAAAGGCCTCTAATCGCTCATCACCATGAAAGTTTAGTGGCATAAAAAGTTGGTGCGAAATTACCTATACATATCGTCATGGCACAAAACGAAGACTGTACAACTTATTATAAAAATAATTACACATTTTGAATCAGCATGAAAACCCCTATATAGAACAAAAATTTCATTGCCCTAAGCTACAGAATAATGTAACATTTTTTTCTAAATTGCATCCCCCCTTAACGTTTCGTAGGGTTAAGGACCATTAACTGATGCTGCCCATTTTGAATGTTTGTCTTTCTAAGAGTGATTTGGCCATAGTTGTTGGTATATTAGAGATAAATGACTCAATCCCCAGCAAACATGCACAGCAGTGTGTTAGTGTACATTAGAAATAGGAGGTAGCCAACCACGGAGCTAGGAGTGATGGATGCCTGAGGTTATGGTAGGGGCTCTGAGGTATTCCCAAAAATGCACATGGCTGCATGAGATCATTACGAAATTATAGATGTTAATCATGAATACTTTTGTTACCACAAAAGTTTTAGAAAGATGGGCTACTTTGTCTATTACTTTTGCAAAGCCCACAAAAGCTTCATTTCATTTCATTCATTACATTTATTGACCCTAAGGGCCCATAAACGGGCATCACATAGGAGGAGAATACAAATACATAATATGACAAATAAAGAAAACCTATTAAAGTTAGAAACAAGCATGCAGAAAATTCAATAACAAGTAAGCATAGAGCAAACACATTGTAAAAAAAAGCAAACACAGTTCAGCATTACAAGGTCGAGTAGAACCTAATAGTAGCCATCAAGGAATATGATAGAGTGCAATCTAGTAAAAAAAAAGAAAAATACATAGAATGAATGAAAACTTGGAATCTGACAATACAGCTAGTATGGCAGGACTGCTCACTAAGGTAAGATAGTCGGGCTGATTGGAAACAAGTTAATTCTTTAATACTTGCGATGGCATGCAGATGGGCATCCTCTCGTTTATAGATAACACCAACGGAGAGTGTTAATTTTTTCAGTGCGAGCAAATAGTAGGTATATCGTGTAATCGTGGTCACATCAGGTTGAAATGTTTATGGCTGGATGAATGAATTCGCGT